CTGGTTAATTGTTATAAATGAGCATCTCTAATGGAAACCTTTGCTTTGAACGATGTTCTACCGGGTCGGTCCGGACCCTGAAATCCAGCAGATTTCACTCCAGAACTGGACTGTGTGGCTCCAGAATGAGTGAACAGAGAACCCGTTTGGTTCTGGTAGTTAATTACCGTTAATTAAAGCGGCGTGTGCGTGTCGTGGCGGTGAAAACACGGCGCTGACATTTCGCGCTCGGAGGCCGACGAGCCACCTTGAAGTAAGTCTTCCCACTTTGACACTCGCCTGTCCTCCCAAATGGCCGTTTCCATGGCGACGCAGCCTTGATCAATACTCCGTCATTGGCTGTGATGGCCGGTCAGGGTCGGTCACGCACGTGCACGCTCGCCGGCGAGGCGTGGCGGCGAGCGAGCGCGGCGGGCGCGCGTGACGGATTGATCGGGCTGCAGAGGTCGACGCGCACACGCTCAGAGCAGTTTATCAAAGGCTGATCGGTCAATAACGGGTCAACACTCCTCAGCCGGGATCTTTCATCTCCTCCGTCTTTCATCTCCATCAGCGCTCGTCCCTCCTTGTTTCCTCGTTTAGCGCTCGTCTGTTCTGATCCGCTTCCTTTCTGCTGCGACGCTCACTGATCTGGGCTCAGGCTGATTCTGGTTGGTTTCAGGACGATGATCAGTCCGTTTACGTGATAATATTTGTTTTGTTTTGTTTTAGTGTTGAATAGAATTGAACAAAAATAACCCTGAATGTTTTTTCAAAATTACTTTTATTAAATATTCATTTATTAGCATTTATATTTCTTTTTTCGCTGATGATCTGTTTGTTTGTTTTTGTATAATTTTGTCAGTTGACCAAATTTTTTTTATTTTTTTTGTCTAAATTTTGAGTCATTTTAAATTTTTTGACCTCTACCGACTCGTGTTTACGCCTTTTGGACAGTTTTATGTAGTTTTGGACAAACTGAGTCTTTTTACGTATGTTTTGAATTATTTGAAGTAAATTTTGAGTCATTTTAAATATGAAAACTTTCATTTTTAAGACCTCTACAGACTTTCTCTTTCTGCTCATCAGCTGTGTTTAGTTTATTGATCCAGTGTGATTGATTTTCCTCTCCTGATAGTTTCATATCATGTCAGGTTTTGAGTCATTCTGGACACATTTTGAGCTGCTTCTAAATAAGGTTTTAGTCATTTTGGACATTTTTAGTCATTCTGAGCAAATGAAAACTTTCATTTTCTGACCTTTACAAACTCCTGTTCACACTTTTTGAACAATTTTATGTAATTTTAGGGAAAATGTGGGAAGTTAAATCTTTTTTTGGACTATTTTCTGTAGTTTTGGACAAACTTTTCGGTGTTTTTAAGAACGTTTCAATTACTTTGGACACGTTTCACTGGATTTGTAGTGGTTTTGAATCTGACCGTGCTGCAGCTATCATATCAATCTGCTCTGTTTCCGTTCATGTTGAACCCTCAGACGTTCATGCCGTCCTGTTCGCTCTCCCAACACACGTGTGACTGTGGAGGCCGGAGGTCAGGCGTGTCGCTACGACTTGTTGTGTTCGGCCGACGGACCGACAAACCGCTCGTGTCCATTTCCAGGTGGGAGCGGCGTCGAGGTGAAGGGTTAACAAACGAATGTAGGTCAGCGCGGGGCTGTGAAGTGTGCGGCTGTGTAGCCGAGTGCGACCCGCTCTTTGTTCTGAGCTCGGTGCAGCAAAGCAGAGTGGACGCTGACGAGGATTAATGCCCAACATATGGCAGCCCTACGGGACACACACTCTGCAGCCATTACTCTGAACAAAGAAGTGTAGGCTAATGAAGGAGTATCGCGTGTCCTCTGCTCGCACACCGACACACACCGACACACACCGACACACACCTGCTACTGTAACGTGCAGCCGTGTGTGTGTGTGTGTGTGTGTGTGTGTGGCTGACAACACCTGTGTGTGTCGCTGCCGTCGCCGCCGTGGCGTCGGAAACAAGGTGAAAGCGTGGAGTTATCCGTGAGGAGGTGAAGCAGAGTTCAGAGGCGTCGTCCCTTCACGCTCCTCTGCGTCGCGCCTCTTTTTCTCACGTCCACATCACACCAGTGCAGACGGGTTCTCTTTTAGCACTCTGCCGCCGCGACCGGGCCGAGCGCCGCACTTCACACGTTCTGGAGGTCCGACGTCCTCCCGGTTCTGCTGCCTCCAAACGGCCACCGACCGACAGCCTGGCTGCACCGGAACAATAAAAATACAGAAAGAAATCCTGTAAATGTGTCCAAAATACGAACCTGTAGCTGATTTACATCCTGTCAGTTCATCTTTGGTTGTGTGATTTTACCAGTTAGAGTCTTTAATACAAATAAAACAGATCAAATGTGTAAAATAAAACTTTTTAAAGCGTAATATCAGTTTTCTTTCAAACAGCACATATCTGTGAAACAACCGTTTACCTGAAATCAATAAAATAAGTTTCAGTTCTGCATTTACATATATATTATGATTAGTTTAGTCAGTATGTAAGATCAGACTTCTTCTGGGATTTTATTCTCGCAGTAATTTAACAACAAAAAAACTGTAAAATAAAACAAAATAAAAATCCAGTTTGATTTCCTCTCAGTCCCTCTGTGGAAACACTGCCTGCAG